AAGTTGGCCGATTCCTCTCCTTGACCTTTATTCGGGACATCGGAGCAGGCGGTACACGTTGAACCAATGACTAATTCCGAGCTGCAAAATGAGATAAAAATGGTCTGCGAGCTCCACAGTTACTTCCTGCCCCAAACAGATGCATCACTGATACAGCATAATCCCCGGTCTGCCGTAAATGGTGGGTGTTGTCAATCGATGTTGCGTTGATGCACGTCACTGGCAAAGCTAATTGTTTGGGAACCGTTCAGAACAATTTGCACTGGAAGCACCATCTTCTCTGTGCGTCTGCTGGTGTTTGAGGATAGAGGCAGATAAGCCAGCCAGCGATCTTCTGAATTCCTGTCCGCTCTGACGCGGCTGGTCGATTTTATCCCAACCTCTGAGTTGCAGCTAACTTTTCACATATTCCTCTTAAAGTGTCAATTAGAAAAAGCATTCATACAGAATGTTTTATACCTCAACACCTGTCTGCGTTTACAAAACCTTGGACCGCTGAAGCCAATTTGTTGCGCTGAAATTTTTTCCATAGCATGCAACTGATGCTCTCTTAAAAAGGTTTGACACCTGCTGCAATTAAACTAATAAGCACAGACAGACTCCACGTACTGATACGGAAGCCTTCTTTATTTTTTTAGGGGTTTTTCTCGTCATATTGGCCTTTACTGCGGCGGAGGGTCAGCGGGTTGGGAACTTGTGACGGCCACGTCCAGGGCTGAGGCCTCCATGCGTGGGTCACATGCTGCGCCGCTGCCGCTCCCAGTTCAATTCAACAACTTCCAGTGAAGGCGGGTGCTTTCACTGGATTTTAGATGTGGTCGTAATGGAACAAAGCGTGACAGAAGACAATTACCGTGGCAGCGGATGTCAGAAAGATTTAATGGCACACCGTGGACCAACGAGTCAGTGGATTTTTCAGTGGAACATTACTTAAAAATTTTTGTAAAAAAAAAAAAAACGGGACACAATTCGCTCATTTTTCAAAGAGCATATCAAAAGTATCCAAAGTTGAAATACCCAGAGGCAATGCTACTCGACATGCTACTTGACATGCTATTGACGAACCCTGTCTTTGGCTGAGCAGAGATGGGGAGGAGGTGCAGCACTAAGTGCCAAGATGGTTTCCATCGTGCATATTAAGGTGCTTTTGGTGTTTGAACTGTTAAAAGTGTTTGTAGAAAGCGTCGCATGCATTTGCATTTGCGGATTTCAATTGTTCGCGGTCCGCTGTGCATAACCCAGAGTTTATTCATTCATCTTGTCATGGAAATAAGAGAAAATAAATGGCCGAACCATCTGCGACCATTCATTAACGAAGGCTTGATATGTTGCCACAGAAAAGGTGTGCTACTCATACTTAGCGTTAGGCCTGTCACAATAATCAATATATCAGTCAATGGCATGATAAATTAAAACATACTCAATATTTTCCACTGGCATGACTTATCATTTACCTCTTTTTTTCTCACTTTCTAGCAAACACTGGATGATAAAAGTCTCCAGTTTGGTGCTTTTTTTTTTTTTTGAAGGACAATTTACAACAATATTATCGTGTATCGCAATAACTTCTGGTACAATTTATCATCCAGCGAAACTGGTTACCGTGACAGGCCTACTTAGCGTTATGCAACAGATTTAAATGTTCTGGCTTGCAGGGCTGCTCTCTCAAAAAGTTGGAAGGAAAACTCCTGGAGAAAGAAACCAGGGCTTTTGCACAATCTCCTGCTCATTTGAAACCCTCCGATCACTCAGCTGGTGACCGGAAGCTCGTTCTAATCAGACCCCGGCGGATCTCAGCTACTTATGCTTTCGCTGATAATACAGGCTGCAGCAATACATCCTGTGAGCAGCCCACGCATATCCTCACCGCACAAGTCTTTTCAGGGTGAGCTAGGAAGGCAGCCTGTAATTTGTAAGATTGGGACAACAAACTTAATCCGCCACTCATAATAGCCCCACCTGGCTGAACACGCCTAAAGGGAGAACACAGGCAGCCGCAAACCCTTTTTCCTATCTTTTACTGGCATCAGTGATGACAAAGTAAAGCCGTGACAAAGGAAATGATAGAATTGCTCGTACGTGATGACCACCCACCTTTAAACGGTTGAGGAAAGAGCTGTATGCTGGAGGCTGACGCACCAACATACAGTGCAGATGATCAATGTCAGACGTGTTGCGAGTGGAAATTGTTCATCACATCTTTGTGCCACACAGAAGTTAACAAAAGACTAGTTCAAACAGGAGAAAAACAAACAGTGGCCTGTGGGGGATTTGCTGTAATCGGTCAGGATGTTCTCCTGGCCCGATCCCAGGCGTTGGGACCGATGAAAGCTTTTTTATTTTTTTGAGAGATTGAAATTAAGAGTCCCTGAAGAAGCTCAGCACTCATCCACTGCTGACCTCGCGTCCGGGATCAAGCAATTCAGCTACTTTTATGCAAGGAGAACTTCACAAAAATAAAGTCAGACAGAAAATTAATGGTGTGACAAATCAGGGATCTTCTCTCTCACTTCGATATTTTCTGCTTTCAAAGTTGCCAATGATGTTCAGTACAAAGGAGGGACAGCCGGCTGTGCCCACACGTCTCCATTTCTCTAGTTTTTTTTTTCTTTCTTTTTTTCAACAAAAGAAAAAAAAAATCATTGTTGAATTTTGCTCTGCTTTAATGTCCAAAATAAAGTTCTGAGTTTCTTCATCACAAGAACAACTCTCACCGTCTCTGTCAGTAAAAGTCTGGATTGTTAGTTTTACCATTTTCTCCAATATTGGTTCAATGAAAGTATCAATAAATTCAATGTCTGGTGTCCTAAAGACTTGAATTACAAATGGATGTTTTTCCAAGAAAAGTATTTGTTTGTGGAATGTGGCTGCTGTGTCGTACAGTCAGAGCCATACAGTCACCTAAAAAAAAAAGTTCTTATCACTTTAATTATCATTATAGCAAAAATATTGTGGTAAAACTTGAAGCTCCCGCCCCCATCTGTAGAATCAAGATGTCATTTAATTTCTTCATCAAAGATCTGACTATTTATCACCATATTGCATATTTTTAAATAATTTCGCTCTGCACCGGTGACAAAGAAAAAAATAAAATAAATCAATAGTCCTCGCATTGTAGCTGGATTTTATTTGTGCCCATTTCTAGAACAACAAACACAAAACCTCAAGCTGTACTTGTGGGGGTGGGCCCCTTTTTGTCCAGTTCCCACTTCAGTCCACTGACACTCGATGACATGTTTAGCTGTTGACGGGCTGTGTGGACATATTGTCTTATAATTCACCAGAAGAATAAGTGAATCCACTGTTCACTTGTCCCACAACTCACTTCAATTAGTAATGAATGCCTGCCTCATTCCATCTCAAATAAAACCTTCCGAAACACAAAGCGGAGCACTAAAACAAAGATCAAATTCACTCTGCTGCCACCAAAGAGCTGAATTGTGGACCGACCGCCTCTGTTGCTCTCAGGGGGATAGAATAAATTCCAAGCTTATTTATGCTGTTCCAAAAATCAACTTAATACAAAAGGGGAACAGAGGACAAAGCCATCATTTACCATGCCCCCTCAGGCAGATAATTGCAAAGATAGTGTGCACCCTATGCACGCGGGGACTAAAGCGGTAGATGCAAACAATTTGATACACCGACGGTTTACTGCAGCCCAGTTCTGAGAAGTTTGCCGCAGAGCCGACCTGTTCCAAAAGCGGAAGAGGATGACTCCTGACAGATGGAAGGCACGGGTCTTCCTCCGCTCCCAATGACCTAAAAATATGTGTGTCAAAGGTAAAGCTCCTTAAAGTTAGACATCAGACACAGGACTCAGTCTTCTATAAAGAAAGAGTCAGCTGAGGAAGTTCAAAAAGTACTTTAAAGTCTATATATATATATATATATATATATATATATATATATATATATATATATATATATATATATTTGCTATTTAAAATCTGAAAAGTTAGGTTTGTTTTCTTACTCTGCTACCCTTAAATCAAACCCAGTGCAACCAGCTGTCATCAGAATGAACTTATCTTAGAAATCCACTCATCATTTTCTTCCACTTTGCAGCTGCGCAGGGACTTGCGTTGGTCTACCGCATAAAATATATTTAAGTCTGCTTTTGTGGCGACCTCGAACCCTTTCTATGGCGGCACCGGGACTTCTCTGCACTCACACCCCATTCAGCCAGACTGGAATACAAGAGCCTTGACAGGATCCAAGCAAAAGCCAAAGCATGCTCAACAAAGCTGACCTGTCTACACATTATATAATGTCAGGGGCAAAGCGTGGGATTATACACTGAGTGAAAACATAGAGCATGAGGTGAACATACTCCCAATGTGGTTCTCATTTCAGCAGTTTGGACTCTGCATGCCATTCTCCAACCCTGAGCTGTGCAGGAGCGTCAAAGCACGCCTGTGCCATCAAAACAAGCCCTGGAAGCCGCGCTGCATGCAATGAGCGACGTGGAAGTTCAGCTTAGAAATAAAACTGAAAAAACATAAATAAATAAATAAAAATAATAATTAAAAAAAACAGAAATTGGATGGTGAAGTGGAGCAGATCTGCTTGAATCGAGATGAGTAAATAAGTCTGATTCTTTTCTTTCTTGTAACGCTGTCAAACAGGCACATGCGTGTTTCCTGCTCGACAATCAGCAAAAGTCAGGAGGCGACACAAAGTAACGCAGGCTGAATCATTTTAAACACACACACATAAACACTTTGCAATGTCAAATTGCACAATGCGTGAGCTTGTTTGCAGCAGTTCGCATGTGGTCAGTGGCAGCAGTGAACATGCTGATGACGCAATATCTGCACATCATGTATAAAATTGATCCCAAATGAAACATACAGTAGTTAGTTTGTTTGTTTGGGGGGGACAGTGAAGCGTGTTCATGAATGACCTTTTTCCTTCTTGTTCTTCTTCTTCTTCACTTTCTATTTTTTTATTTAGTTTTTCTTAAATGCATAAACAAACGTCACAAACGTCAAACTCACTTTCTGCGCGAAACATCCCGCAACGAGGAGCAGACACGCCGTCAGTGAAGCGGGCGACGGAACGGGAGTCATCTTCCTCCAACTCTTCTTCTTCTTCTTCTATTTTTTTTTTTTTTTTTTTTTTTTTTTTGCCGTTTCTCCAACGCGACGCACCAGCGACCGGGCGACCGGCGTCCCCACGCTCCTCTCTGCCTCCCTCTCGGTCACCTGGAGTGTCGGGGGCGCGCTTCCATCGCTCACGGACCAACCGGAGACCCCCGGAGCGGAGCGGCCACCCTGCCTCCCCAAGCGCTCCGACTGTCAAACAACACGCCTCCTCTTCCTCCTCCTCCTCCTCCTCGCTTTGTCCGCTGCTAAATGTGTCTTATTGTTATTACTGTTATCAGCTCATTCAAGAGTATTAATTGCTTAAATTATGCTGAACGCAAACGAGCCGAAGGTTTGAGCGTAATCTGTCTCTTACGCACGGACTGGAGTCTCCACTCACACGCTTCGACTCAGGGGCGCCCCTAACGGCGACTAAAGAGGTTACAAGGATGGCGTCCGGTAGCAGTCGGTGTCGGAACGACAGGGAAGAAGCCTCTGACTGAAGTATGTCGTGGTGACATCCTCAGAATCTGGGCGTACAGGGTGTTCCTCGACAAACATGACCCGGATGAGATCGCCGGTTGTCGGCCGGCGCTAATCCGTCTCCTTTGCTTTTGCCACCCTGTCTGCAGGCGCTGTTCCCAAAGCTGCGTGGGTGGACATCCGCGTGACCGCAATGTCCCATTGTGGAGTTGCTTTGAGTTCAGAGATCAAGTCTTTTTTTCAACTATTGAATAAAGTCAATGAAAAGGCAGAATGTGATCAATTCAAAGCTCAAATTCAGCTGGACTGAGTGTGTCAGAAGGTTCTATTTTATTTCTTTTCATTCTGTTTTTTCACCCAAATAAGTGTTTAGCTCTCCATTAGTTACTTGTTTTTCTTTCTTTCATTTTTTTTCAAACAGCATCTACATAACAACCCCACCTATCTGTATACTTTCCGACTCTTCTCAGAGCTTCGGCGCTCATGTGAGATCTCTGGACTCGTTCCTGTGTCTTTCACTCAGAAAGCATTTCCAAGCTTGCGACACACGGTCTCTTCCGCTGGTCTGGAAACAATTATTTGCGTGCATTCGTGTCATTGCGGCGGGATTATTGCATTAAAATTAATGGGGAGGAATGGGCGGCGGTGGAAGGGTGCAAATGCAATCTCGACTCCGTTGACACCACTGAAAGAAGCCTTTAATTTGCCACTGAAATGTGAGGTTGGAAACCAGTGGCCGACGACGCTTCTTCGGCATCGTCGGCCACCAGCAATGTGGAGCAATATGGTTAGGGTTAGGGTTATGGTTAGGGATAGGGATAGGCGCGTTCAATGCCAATAAATGCACACTTCTTCAGCTGCCTGGCTAGGAGCCATGTCAAACATACTGAAAAAAAATCATTTGTGGGAAAAAGCTGTTTGTGAAAGAAGAAGAAAAATACTAGGCCTAATTGTAAAGGATGATTTATTTCGACAAAAAAATAAAATCCTATCTAATCATTCGATCATCAAGACAAAAATCTACTAGAAATGTTAAACGGTGGCGTAGTGATTTAAGAAATATATGTATCTTACTGAATTTTAGTCAAATTAGTTAAATTAACGTCAAATTCCTGAAAAATTAGCCTGTTTTTTTTACCGTTATTTTTTTAAATGCCATGATAAACACTTAGTTTCCATGGAAACGCTAAATGAAATAGTCTACCTTAAATATTTAATCTTATTATTAAAAAACATGAAAAAATAGTATGTACCCTAATAATAGCCTATATTTTAATAGTTTAGTTTCATTATTTTTTCAAGATACATGTTGATCTGTTGTGTTTTTGTTTTGTTTTTAGCATAGACAGGAAACTGTTGAATTGATTAGAAAAAACAAAAATGGTGACATTTAATGTAAAAGTATCAGGTTTGATGACTTTGGTGTCCCACTCTTTGAAATGTTGATGACTTCTTTGATATATAAAGCTTTAATATATTAATAAGTCTCTTTTGCGTTTGTGGGGTGAAACAAATTTGTGAGTTAATTCAAATTGTTTTGTGACTTATGTGTTAGCTTATTGACATTTGTGGATAAATGCCTGGAATATTAAAACTAGTGTTTGAGAAAAATTGTTATGCTAGTTTTTTTTGGGTTTTTTTTTTTTAAATGCACAGACATATTTAGTTTCCATGGATACACTGGTGATGTCGTTTAAAATTACTTCAAGAAAAAAAATTAAAAAACACTTTGCAAACATGTACCTCCTCCTATCTAATGATAGACTTTAATATTTGTGTTTAGTTTTTGTGACATGGGTGAACTAATTTTAAAAGAAAAAAGTAACATTATTTGAGTTGGTTAAAATCAGCTTTGAGGACTTTGGTGTTCATGTTTCGGAAATTTCGACTCTTTGTTTAGGAAGGTATAATTTGCATTTTTGGGATGCAACATATTAGTGAGTTAATTAAATTTGTATTGTGATTCAGATGCCGGTTATTTGACATTTTTGGAAAATGCCAGCAATGCTGACGAGTTGTTTTGGTTTGAAAGAAGTTTTGGAACCAGCTTTTTGTAAAAATGTGGCGTATGCAGTCTCCATGGATGCACTGATTAAATAACAACACTCAACTTTATTCTTATAAAAACTCATTAAAGTACAATCAATGTGTGCCTGTTGATTTCACAAAGTAACTAAATTGCAATGTCAAAGTAACACTATCGTCAGCCATAACTGACCCATTTGGAGCAATATTGACATGTGATCATAAGACTTTGAGGCATCATCCACACATAAGCACTATGTTGTTGCTGAAAATGTGTTACATAAACAAAATTACCTTTTACCTGTAAGGGATGCAGATGATTATTTTAATTATTTTGTCTGGCTTATCAACAGGCAAAATATAAAGGCCATCTTAACACTTGATATGGATTTCTAAACCCAATAAACAGTTTCATTTTTTTTTGTCGGACCCCCTGGAAACGCAGGAAAGGCCACTTCTGTCGGCCTGTTTATTTAGATCCCTACTTTAAAAGATGTTCATCTATAAACTTTTAATTTCATAGATGTGCGTTTCTGCTGTTGGCTATATGTGGGAGTATGAAGGTCATACTGATGGGGTGTCAGAGTAGCTGTGGCTGCTCAAAAAAATTTAGTTTGATCAGCTACAATTAAGATTTTGTTCATTTACAAATGCTATTGGAAACATTTTTTTTTTAAAACTTTGATACTTTTAAAGTATTAAAGTTGTCTAAGCAGTGATTTAAGTATAATGGTAATAAATGGATCACATATCTTATCCCTGGCTGTTATTAAGAATCATCAAATGTACCTGTAGCATTGAGATTTGTGAGGATGGCTTGTTGTAGAAGGGTAAACCGAGTAACTTGTTGCAGGGTTTTATTATATTCACACTAATGACACAATCTAAGACTACAGGTGTTTCATTAGCTATTAAAAAGTCAGAAACACAGCGTGTAACTCTTTATGTTGCCAAATGTTTTAGAGTTTATGGCTAGGGATGAATTACCAATAAGTCTAAATTTGATTTATTGTGTTTAACGATTGATTGGTACCAAGATAAAGCTGTAAGTTTGTTTGTCTCAGTGGTGATGGTCTATACATGTTTGATCATTGAGTTTTAAGAGTGTGTTCTGGTTTTTATGTAAAATTTTGTTTTTTGCTGTTGTTTTGCGACTAAAGGTAAGCTTCATTTGTTTTATCTCTTAATTCCTGTTCTTGCTGTATAATCACATCTGTCATAGCAATAATATTGTTAATTAAATATATTTAAGAAAAACAAACACATTCACAAACTTTGGTTATTGTATTGTTGTTATTTCAGTGTCCCCTTTAAGCATTGCTTTGGACTTTTGTGATTTTTTTTTGTCAAGATACTGAATATAGTAATTTTTTCTATCCTGTTCTTCTACTAATCCACTCTCCCAGTTTTGAATCTTTCAGATTTTAGCTGATCATCGCTGGATCCTTTCATCATTGTCCATGTGGTTCCTGCCTTCTGGATCCCTTGTTTTTCCACAATGCTTGTAAGTTTTTGCATTCCACTTTCACTTGATACTGCTTGCCTCCTGCTGGTGGCAGATCTCCGATTCTTTGATCATCCCAGATTGGATGTCAGCCTGTAAACTTCCACCTTCGACACCACCAGTCAGACGGAGTCAGATAAGAGAACCTGGTTGAAAAAAATGTAAGGACATGTAGTTTTACGCAACAAAAGATACTCAACTTGCTGGAGGTTGAGGTCAATATTCAAACCTATTTCTTATTTTCTGCTGTACTTTCTCCTCACCGATACTTTTGTTTTGTGTGATTTTCTTATTGAGTCCTTTCATAACAGCAGAGCTTTGATAAGTAGTTTGAAACGTTATCGCTCGTTTTTTTTCGGCAGACCTGGTTTGTGAGTTTTGTTGACGAAAATAAATAAATAAAAATAAATCAGTAAGTCCGTTTTTGAAGATTTTGTAGCGGTGATGTTTATTTATTCACAGCAATCCTCAAAGAAGAAAAGGCGGGAAGATGCACAGGAAAGCTAAAAACCGGATAAAATCACCAGTGTCTATGTTTGGTGCGTATTTGCATTCACAATTATTTACGCGAAGTCAACGTACAACCAGGGTAGTGTAAATGATCATTGGCTCCAATCAATGTTTACCGTTTATGGGGTTTGCTTAAACAGGAGGGTGAATGTGGCTTATCTCAAGTTCTCGAAGCAGAATCTAGTTTAATCTTATTACGTAAAGCGCTGGCTCGATACAACAGCAGTACTTATTAGTACTTATTCATGCACTCAGTGGGTCATCTGGGGTCAGGTTCATGAACTGACACCAGGGGTTTAAAGCGCATCTCACAGGAGAGTTACACAGCTGGACTGCTGCGATCAGCTGCAAAGCACGAGAATGAAGTCTAGAGATTCAAGAATAGACGCTGTGTGGCCCTTGCGTCAGTGTGGCCGCCATGTTGTGAGTGGCATCTGTGAGACAAATGTTCAGACACTGTGAGGATTTAGCAGCACAGAGACCGTTTGTTTCCCAGGACATGTTCAATTGATAAATGAAAAGAAGGGGGGGAAACAATCAATACAGAATTCAATTTCTTTTTACAAACATACCTTGAAGAAAACAGAAACACAATACTCACATAGGAATTTCTGAACTAATACATAGGAATATGACCAGTGTTTCTGAGAGGGTTCAGGATGTTTGGAAAGCTTTCTGCAATGTCTGCATTTCTTAGTTTTGTCTCATGTTTGATGTCAACCCCACAATTTAACGATTTAGCAATGGTGCTTGCATTAGGCTGCCCACAAAATAACACAATATTGTTTCCTGTTGTGTTTCACTTTCACTTACATGAAGCATTTCATTTTGGTTGCCATTTCTTTGATTTGTCT